ATTTTGGAGTCTTCGTCCATGCTGTAATACAGCAGATTCTCTGGCTGCAAAGACAAGAAGAAGGATCAACAAGGAGGGGTTGCAAATGGGGTCAACTGTTACATTTCTGCATTCCCTGAGCAATGATACCTTCAAGTCTCTGTGGACGATCCCCATGTCATGGAGATATTTGACTGCATCCAAGATCTGGTGGATGAGCTGGCTGGCATCTCTCTCTGTGTAGAAACCTTTCTCCACAATCCTGTCAAACAACTCACCTCCAGATACCCTGCCAGGTGAAAATCAGGGAAACCAGCTAAATAGTCCTGTACCTTTACTGAAGACATAAAATATTAGAGGTTTAGGGTTGAATTCGGGCTGCAACTAAGGATTTGTATTTTAATTAGTCAATTAATCCTTAGTTAAAACCCCTTAAAAAGCAACTTCTTCTTCCGGGCCAGTCATTACAAAAACTCATCCGGTGCAGCCAAATACTGTTCAAGATCAAGTCTAGATAGAAAAGTTAAAATTATACAAAAGACATATAGAATATTTGGTGCAGCTGTAATAACAGTCTTGAGTATTTTAGTTGATACAGATTATATATGATACATATGTGGTACGACTATATACAGACACTAGAATTTGGACTAAGATTATTTAACATCCTTAAAGCTATTTGAGGGGAAACAACATTTTAATGGAAATATGATTTTTTTTTGTACAAAACCCAAATATATTTAAATTACAATGATGTTACGAAAAGCAGCAAATAGTCCCATTTGATACACTGAACCTAAGGTAACGAGGAAGAATAACTCACAGCTGCATGACAAGATATAGATGGGATGTACTTTCAAAGATGTCCTCCAGTGAAACAATGTTGGGGTGCTTGATTCTGAAGAAGATAAACAGACAGACAGAAATTATCAGACTGAATATATTAGAGCCAAATTTCTCTAATACTTACTGTCAGTTGGTCACCAGATGGCATTCTTGCTGCATAATTTAAATTTAGATCGGTCTGCCCTCTCTTTTCTATGGAAAGCCCTACAGTAAACCGGGATCAAACCTATGTGTTTGCCCTAAAATACAAACTGTAAAGCCTCTCAGATCTTGCACAGAAAAGCATTAGATATAATAACTACCACTTGCTAGGAAAGACAATGTACGCTGTCTGTAGCTGAGACCTTTAACAAAGCACAGGTTAGAGATTATAGCTATAAGGTTTGACCGAAATTACTATAACAACAGCTATTCTCACACCCAAAAAAAACAGAACTGCGTCGTTTATTGTTATGAACCAGCCAACAGACAGTCAAGCATCTCTCTTGGCTCTCAAGTATGGTTGAGAGCATATGAACACACCATTGCTATAACACATCAGCAGATGAGAGGAGCTAATGTGAATTTTAGTCGAAATAGAGAATCCCATTGTGTGTTTTTAGGATTTTTTTTATTTTCTTCCTGTTTCTTGCTCTCATGTCTGTCTTATTTACTTAATGGTGACTTAGGTATTTAGCCAAACTCCACTCCTCCCATTCTTCCGTATATCTTTCTCCTTCTGTCAGACCCTACCCCCCTCTCCAGTTCTCCACCCTCTATGTCTCTTTCTCTTTCTTCAATACACTGCTGCGGGGAACTCCACACCATCTCCGCCTCTGTGTGCTGTTGCCCTGGCAACAGGGACACTAAAAATAGGTCTATCTTCTTTACTCCTGACATTTCCGGTGCACAATCCTACTGTTTCTACTGACACCATGCATTTAGTCACACATTCAATTGACCCCTTGCATATATTCTGCATCCGTACATGCACTGTTGTAGAGGCTGCACTGACTAATTCCTCCTGCTGGACACAAAACATCAGCTGACGCATCGTGAGGAGCTTGACCTCACCTGTGTAGCACCGCAATCTCATTTTCAATGTTGTTCTCTTTGCCTTCCAACGCTTTCTTGGGGATGCACTTGATGGCCACCAGCCTCTGGGTCCTCTTCTCCTCTGCTAGAACCACCTCTGAGAAAGCTCCCCTAAAACAGAGGCAGTGAAAAACACATAAATGCACACATTAGAGAAAGAAAGAGAAATGTGTGGGAGTGTGGGGTGAAATGGACAAGATCGGAAAGCTAAAGTAGGAGTCATTCTTCTTAAGCTACAGGCGATGGTGGATTGAAAGTGTACCAAGGAGACAGAATATTCAGAGCTTTTCATGTAAATCCTTTTTTAATTTATCTTGATATCTTTTTACCACAAATGTGTGCTTTTGTTTGATTCTGACACTAAATAAAGTCCAGTCATTAGATTTTTCTGTGGCATTGACTAACCACAACACCAGAGCTTTTAAAAAAGATCTCAAAATATCCTGTGCGTGTGTGTGTGTGAGAGTGGTGTTTAGATGAATAATTCAAAATGGTGACATTACCGAGAGGTTTTGGGGCCTGAGAAAAGGCTCAGGAGGTGAGGTGAAGCAACAGTCACATACAGACATTTATAGTAATATCAGTTGCTTTTAAAAAAGAAAAACTATTTTTAATCCATTCAATAATAGATAGAGTAAATGTAGTGTGGTTGTTTCTGAGGGAGACTAGACTGCATTATGGATTACGGCGATGGTGAAAGGGAGAATAGTGTGTATTTACACTCCCTACAGGAGCGTGGGAGGGAGCTCAGGAGGAGGCCTGAATGCACGAACATTGTTAGCAACCACAGGGATCCTTTACATGTGTGAGAAACAGCACTGTCATGCAATACACAATGGAAGTCCAATGTTCATGCTTTAGCAAATAGTCTCTCCTTTTTCCATCTGTCACACTGTGGAGCATGTGTGGAGTTCTCACTCTTAACTTCACTTAAGTCTGCAACCTTAAATAAAAGGATGCAGACTTCACAGTGCTGTTGCTAACAGCAACCATGTGATAAGGAGGCAAACATCTCTCACTTTCTGTTTATTCTACTTTTAATGGTTATTAACAGCTAATTGCAGAGCACAGCAGAGTTATTGTGCAACCTGACCGTCTCTCAGAACACCTCCTCTCAATGTGCACTTTTGTGCATCATAAATGCTCAGTGTGGATCCGTGTTAATCCTTGAGAAGCTTTGTACCATGGAGAAACCTTTGCATAGTGAAGCTGATGCACACCAAGAGAGACCATTCTCTCACGCACATCTCTGGTTTCATTTTTAAAAAGTCCTTAAAATAATCTCAAAGCGAAATCTCATAAAGCTCCAATCCTCATCGACCCATAAAAGGATTTTAATGTGTTTAAGTCTGCAGCATTTATATTCAGGGTTTCCTCATAGGGTCAAGAACGTTTAACTTCTATTATCGTGAGTAATAATCTATTTAGTGTTATTGGCTGTTTCAAATAGAAGGGTCAATGGGCCAAGACAGTGAGATAGGCCCTAAATTCACTGGCATGTGAATTTATAGTAGGAATCAGATGGACATTTTTACTAATGAGAATAGTTCTGTTTCTGGCCATGCATGGAGAAACTGCTTTGCCTGCAACTAATGATTATTTAAATCGTTTTCTAGAAATAATTTTGTTATTCAATAGAAAATAGTGAGGAAAATGCCACAATGTCACTGTTTTTCTCAGAACCCAAGGTGGGGTCTTCAAATGATATTCAGTTTACAACAATAGAAAACAAAGAAAAGCAATAAATTCTCACAATTAAGAAGTTTTTTTATTGATCGACTATTCAATTAATGGACTAATATGACTAATTTTGACTAATGTATGTAACCTAATCCATGCTTTATGTACACTGCTCCCAAAAAGAAAGAAAAAAAGCTTGCACGCACGCTTTTCTATTGTTGCCGTGAGACACATTGTAATTAACCATCCAGTTGCTAATTTCTACTTGGAGACGTAGTAGGGGTGGGCTCTCAGGGGGTTTGGGAAAAGGAACAGCTGACAGTGGAAGAGAGGAAGCTACTGTAGCTGTTATTCTGAACTGATGAGAGTTGTGAGCCAATGTGTAAGTCACTCATCGTTAGAGAGGAGTAAAATGATACAGAAGAAAGGTTTATGTTATTTTTCAGCCTTGTAGCGTTCAGTTTTTTCAGTCTGTAAATAAAAAACTGTATCTTTATTCCAACAGCAGTTAGCAACAGACCACAGAAATCTTGACACACCATTTTATCTATTTTATGCCAATAAATAATCCTGGCATGCACTTTAACTTGCTGCAAATTGAAATAAATAAGTTTCATATGAGTCATTGGTCTCAAGACTCATAGCTGATGCGTGGCTGTTTTTGTGTACACAAACAGTATATTTTTAGACATTTTTACAGATAAACTAAAACTCCATTAGATAGATAGATAGATA